ATTAATCGCTGTTAGTAACTTACAGGTAGTATGCGTCTACTGATTACTCGTAGCAAAACGCTAAGTATCAGTCAAACGCCAGAGATGAAGAGCCTACCTGGTGGCATCGTCTTTGTAGTAGTTGGCAGCAAATGAACTGGCAGCAGGGGGGACCTCGACATCGGCCCTGAAGCTGCGACCCAAAGTGGCAGCCCGACGGGTGTGTTGAGTTTGAGATGGCGTTTTTCCGTCGATATTGTCGGGTACCTCAGGGATGGAAGAAGTGCGCGTGCCTGCAGTAGGTTGCACCTGGCCAACGCGGTAGAGGTGGCCAGTGCGGTACCCTGCTGCGTCCAGTCGCCGCATCATAGCCTCAAATTCTAGCTCTCCCGGACGCCAACTTCTGTCTGTGGCACCACCCATCCCCCCAGTGGTAGCGTTCAGCACCTGACTGTCCAAAGAGGGTGGGACTTCACCGCCCACGGGCATCACTAATTCATCCATCCCCACACAGGCTAATCGAAGCTAGGGGAACATGAGACCATCTTAGGAAATTGGTGGGTGGGTGAATGATAACAATATCCACGCAAGGTACGGTCAGACCACTTAAAGACCGTGAACAAGAATGGGAGGAAGGGAGGAAAAAGGAGGGGTTGGACTAACTTGGGCTTCGCAGGCCGAAACAGAAAGATAGGCCGCCATCCAGGCCTCCTCGACAGACTTGCCCATGGCAAGAATGCCGTATTTGCGAATTATGAGGATGCGAGGATCCCCACCTGCAGTGTTCTGCAAGCGTTCGCCAATGACAGCGATCTCTGCTGCGTTGCGTTCCTCACCTTGCAAATGTTGGTCAATGCTGGCGGGGTCATAACTGGCCGCAGCACCCAGCATCATTGCCTCCTGACTGATTGGCGGCAGGTCAGTGCACATGCAGGAGATCTGGGAGGGGAAAGTGAGATCAAGTAATGGTACTAGTGTTGGAAACAAGATGTACGATTTAACTGTTTAGTTCATCAAAGAAGATTGAACTTTTATGCACATCAGTGGTATGCGATGTGAGTGGGTTATGTCAACTGCATTCAACTGATAATCAAACTGACAGCCATAAGTACAAGCGCATATTGATACTGATGTTAGACACCCGGTGGAGAACAGGCCGAATAATTTGCCAATTTTTGGGTTGTGATTGGGTGTACACACATAAACACGACTATCGCCAGAGCTGCACGCTCCGTACACAAGCACACACGTGCACATATGCTAATGATCAATGCCAAAATAGCATTACCAAAGAACGGCTTCAACAAGCAGTTTAAAACCCTAAATAGAGATTTCTTCTCATATGGAAATGCAGGGAAGTCACTGCTTCAATGGTGAAAGAAGAGTTTGGAGTTTTGAATGAGTTGAAAAACCCGTAAAACTGAAATATTGAACAGCCTTGCTGACAAGAACACTTACTGAAGACTAAAAGATGGGTTTTCAATTGATGCTTCAACTAAGTCAACCACAACCTGCACATGCTTAGTGCAAAACATACGTGCCAGTATGAAAGTTTCAATTACATTAAGATTAATAAACACTGAAAAAGAGATTTATTATAAAGAAGCTTGATGTTATAACAAAAAGGTTGGAGTAGAGCTGGGTGAATCGCAAACTACCAAAAAACACTCGCCAAAACCGTAAAAGTTTGTAAAATTTGTGTCATCTAACCATAGCGTAGATGCACGAATCGGTACTAAATATATTTGACTTAATTAGTGACAATCCGATCAAGACAAAAATCGGGAAAGTTGAGTATGCCCACAGGAAACCGCATAAGTAACCTCAATTCAATTATCAAAGGGAAGGGAACATAAATGGTTAATGTGATCATCGGATTTCCGAGTAAACTTCACCTACAGAAGCTGCTTACCGCAATGGTCGCTGGTGTACTCAACTGGATGACACATCGAATAGCTGGAAGGGCTTCATGAACGGCAGCATGCAATGTCCATCCCTGCTTGTCGACACCCAAGCCGTGTGAGCCACCATCAATAATATTACCTTAAGAGATCAAAGATAAATGCATCATTTGCGGAGAAGCATACATAGTATCTAATGCAGTAAAAGAACTGACAGCAGAACAATGTGAAAAGGTCCGTAATTACCTTTCAAGTCAACCTTTAAAAGGGATGAGGCCGTAATTTCGCTAAAAAGGAGTCCTTCTGGGTTGAAGAGATAAGAATCTCCATCCTTAAACACCTTGGCCTGTAATCCAGTAGGAATTTTACGGTAAATAGCATTTACAACACAGTGACATGTGGAATTATGCCAGTGCTTTATTAATGGCCATGAGATTCAAGAACGATAAACCGACCATCTCAGGAAGTGGGTTGGGCATCAATGGCAAAAAAGCCGCACTATCAAGCAATAACTTTCTATTAAAACAGTGCAATCGAACCAAAACCTTACCGAAATATGGCCCTTAGAACTAGAAGACCAGCCAAAAATATCCACGAGACGATAAGTAGATGCAACCTTACAGCGAATGATTCGCTCCAATTTTGAGTAGGTAGTGTTTTGTGAGTGTAGATCATTTATAGGAATAACAGGCACCGTCACACCTAAATTTGAAAACATCAGGTAAGTCTTGTATACAGTAGCCTCAACGGAATAAGGTGGAGAATACGGAACCACAAAAAAACACTTAATGAACACATTATCAACTGAGCACTTCGATAACGCCCAAACCACACCTTTTGCAAACGCAGAGGACCCAAGTTTTGCGTGCGGCGTCAGTAAATCCACCAATTTTTTGAGAGCCATAACGTTGGAACTCAAAACACCATCACGCATCTGCGATGCAACTATCTTTTCTAGCTCGTTCCGAAAAGCGAGAGAATTTAGAATGAGAGAAACTCGGCGTCTTTGCACCATCAATTTCACATCTTCTTTGATGGATGCGGGACGCAGCAAATCCCGTATGTAATCGGGATCATTCACATCTAGCAAGATGTCTTAAGATAATCAAGGACGAACCCAGACCATCGAGGAAATCGACACCCTGAGGCCCCAACACGTCCGTCATCCCTGCGGCAAACTACAACGCTGCCCGGGCTTATGAAAGGCTCATCGTGATGAGCTTAAACAAGGCAGTGAAAGGCGAAGATGCCAATCTTAATGAATCGCTTTGAATATCCTAACCTCAAATAAATCACAAATTTAAAAGCATTAAAATTTTCGTTTGGTTTCTGAAAGTTGACTGGAGGATTACATTAAGATGTATTGGTCACCGGTTAAGCAGAAGGAAATAGGCAGCTATCAAAAATCACCATCAACAACCGCAGTAGAATGTATGATGGCCCTTCACTGTCTAATAAGTAGAGCATAGACAAAAACAGGTTTGACACGCCTGTTAAAGCATAATATATTGCATTTGTTAAAAGATTGATTTCAAGGTGTATAATTCCCGCAACATCATTAAACAGCTTCTAGGTAGTGCTTTCTTATTAGAATTTTGACCTGATTTAGTGCATTAAAAGAGGTTTAACATTTTACAAGCGGCCTACTTGACTTGTTTTATAATATGCTACAAATACAGCTAATGCAAATTAAGCTATATCTCGCCTGGCATCATCACCTTATTCTTTCAAGGTCAGCTGGTATTGTTTGGATGATTACTGGTTGCGGTTTTTTCGTCTTTGGGCGGCTGGTTCGCGTTTCAAGGGCTGTCAAATGTCGTTTTTGGGATTCAAAGAAATCTTTGTGAAACAGAAGGTTATTGCTGGATATTTTCCCTGTCCCATAGGATTTGCTGTCTTTTGCTTAGATCAGTTAGGTTGTGCGTGGGCTTCCGAACAGTGGACTTTTCTTAGCTTACTAATTATGCACATATTCATAAGGCTTTGCGGGTTTTTTTCTTTTTAATATTGTGAGGTTTCTAGCTGTACGTGAAAACCGTGCCTTTTGGCAACTATGGCCTTCTCTTAACGTTTGGACAGCTTATCTTACTTCCAATTTGCATTTCAGTAGGTATGTAAGTGCCGCATTAGTAATACTGTTTTAAGTTTTATTTACTAGTAGTATTGGGCATTCATTTTACCGCAGTTGTTTACGAAGTACCGAATGTCTGCTGAAATACTTTTGACACTGATATGCCATCGTTTTTAGACGTTTAGGCCGAAAAAAAAATTTCCGCCAGAAACCATACATTATCATCTTCATAAGCAAGCTGAAGCTTCCCTCAGTGCTGGTATAGATCTACGAGAGGCTGTTAAAAGGCCCCCAGATGAGGAACTCAATGACTGGATAGCTGTTCATGGTATATTTGCTTTGTCATATAAAGGTATTTCTTTCCAGTTGTCGACTTCTACAATCGGATAAATCTCATATATGGCACGATTTGTGACAGATGTACAGATAAAACCTGTCCGCGTATGACGGGAGGCAAAAAGTTTGAGTACCACTGGCGCGATGCTCATCGATATCGGAAACCCACTCCAGTGCCCGCTCCGCTCTACATCAGCCTCCTAATGGATTGGATTGAGGAGCAGATTAGTAATCCCGACATCTTCCCCACTTCTGTGGACGTACCTTTCCCCAAGAATTATTTAAGTGTCGTGAAAAAAATCATGAGCCGGCTCTACCGCGTGTTTGTCCATGTGTACATCCACCACTTCGATCGGCTGGTCGAGATAGCGGCGGAGGCACATGTGAATATTTGCTATAAGCACTTCTACTACTTTGTCACCTACTTCAATCTCATCGATCCAAAGGAACTGGCTCCTCTTGTAGGTTGCTCTGACTTTATCCATTGTTTACCTTGGATTTCTATGCATGATAGAAAACTGTTTTGCTTCGCTACCGCGCTAAATCGTTTTGGACAAATTTTGCCGCTTTGGAATTCGCAAAATGCGCCTATTCCTTATGTTTTATTTCAAAAATTATATTTGATGGACGTATACCCCGTCATTTACCACTATTCGATCTGTGACAGTAGATTACGGGGTCTTGACCAAATTTTCTGCTGACACGTCCACTAGAAAGGCTGGCCTTTTGAAATCCGCTATTTTTTCAATGAGAAAGTGGGGAGCATCAGTTATAACCTTTCAGGCATTTCATCAAAGTAGGCAGTAGGTACTGCTTTTCATGACCTGACCATCACAACGCCGTCAGCCTCGAGACCAGGTTTTCCTTTTCATCTACAAAGCAGTGATTCTCTTGCCGGGAATCTCATCTAGATTGCAAAGAGAAAGTTTAACGTATTCTAGGGCGTCGACGGTTTACCGTGCAAAATTTGATACGAGAGCTTGGGCCACCTGTCACTAGATAAACAATGGAACGCTTTCTGCACACCTGCGTTTGCACTTCTGCGTGCGCGCCCCTTTTCAGTACCAATTTTCCTTGGAAATTCGTTTATCAAGGCAGTTTTACGTCGCCCTCGATCCTAGGTAGCTAAGCATCTGCTCTTTCCGAAGTCGGATTCGAAGTTTTTGTCATCGTTGTGCCATCTTCTGATTTACGTCATTGCATACCTCATTGTGTGATGTATAATTACAACTCGTGCCTGCTTCCTATGTTTACTCGTTGGATACCTCTATACACAAACCCTAGGTAAGATGGACTTTACAGTTCTTTGGTTTGAAGAGGACGCAGACAGTATAGGTGGAGTTCTACCAGACCAAATCGTGAAATCAGATTGATAACAAGCGATTCGTTTCAACACCTTGGAGCAATCACTGTTTTCTTAATCCCCACATACGTGGTTTACTCATCCAACTTTTAAACAAAGCACCAGTTGAGTCATGTGCCGTCTTTGCTTTATGATTTCACCTCTCTTGGGTGGGTTCACAGTGCTTTTCGATTTGTCAACTTAGTTACTTAGGTCCAACCGGTAAAGTGCTGTGAATGATGGCTTACTATTACTGGGTTCCTTGTGCATAATTATGAGATTTTATCAATTAAGGTTTTCCCATTTTGTCTGTGTTGGAACTGTGCTGTAGGTGTCAAGCAATTCACCACAAAATTTCTTTAGGTAAAGGACGTGCTTCCTCCAAAACATGTCTTACTCCACCATAAACGCATGTTTTACTCGTGGTAATCGCTTACTCAGCCAGTACTGTAGTAAACTTTCATGCTGTCTTCGGAGGGGAGCTACTCATTGGAATCTGGACTATAAATTCATTATTTGTAGATATGGTCGTAGAGGGAAAAATTTGCATTTCTTAATCCACCTGCTCAAGTTTGGTCGTGTATACTCACTTGAATACCTTTTTGGCCATCCACTGCCTGGAACACTACTACGAATGAGACATATTAGTGCCCCACGCCTATTGGGTCACAGCTTGCTGCTAAATTGTACTTGTCTATAAAATTGGTGGATTTCAGCGCGGATTCTGTGCTGTTTAGAGCGAAAATTTGGGGCTTTATCTATCGTCTTCGCCACAAGATCCTTGTTTTGAATCCAGTTGCTGACCATATCACATATCACTGATCTTTCGTTTCCAATTTTAGCGTGAATTGACGGAGAGAATATGTAATTGAAAAAACGTTTTGACCAACAATCTTGCTCTTACCCGCATTCCAATGCTGACCTCTTCCGCTAATCTCGATAGTTGCAAAAAAGCAAGGGTAGAAACTATTTTAATCGTGTCCTTCTTGGGATTTATTTTTATATCACTTCCTTGCACGGGTCCCATTCCCTTTGCATGCTCTTTAGCTTTTTGTACCTCCGTAGTACAAGATGTTTTCTCAGCTGCAATTTTCTCCTTTCCCTACGTGATTTATGCAATGGCGGGGCTATTTGTCACTCATATATGAAGGAAGTGCATTCGGTCTCGCTCAAAAAGGATTTAGTGGATTGCATGAAAAAAAAAACAGCTTGACGAGATGGCCTGGAGGCTTGATATCTATTAAGGGAAGTCATCCCATTTCCGTTTAGTTCTACTGGATTAATTTTGCACCGTCTCCATTGTAAATGAAGCGAAGCGCCTAACTTGAGGGGAGACGAGGTTTAATTACTGAACCGGCAGGATTGCTAGTGGCTAAGTCCAATGAACTCGAGTGGTATTACCTAGGTTAAACAGGGCAAAGGGATTCGAACCGCTTGATGAGTGAGTTGTGCTGGCATTCAGATCAAAAGGCGTGAATAGCAGGTCAGTGATGTCACACGAGGGAGGAGTAAAAGCTCTCCTCGTGCTAAATGCATGGATTCTTCACGGGCCCTAGCCCATCCAGTTTGTACAGCTTTGGGGTTGTCAGTCGTTACCCGCTGTAGTGTTGCTACATGAAAAGCGTTAATAAAGGGGGTAAAGCGCCAAGACTGTCTGCCAGAATGCCTTGGTGTTACAGAAAATTGAGTCAGCCTGGTGTTACGTGGTTTTAATATAATGAGGTGATGCCTATACTAATTTAGATTGCGGTTCCGATTGTGTCTGCACGGGAGTGATGCCTGTTCTAAAAAGCAGAAACAAATTAGAAATACCATAATGAGTTATGCCCCCAGTAGACGATTCGACTGAGCTGTGAATGCATGTCGACTGGCGTTTGTTTACGGCAGTCACCAGTGATTTGGATATACTGAAGGCTGCTACAATCTCGAAATGTGGTATAGCACTTAGACTGCCTTGAGAAAGATAAGTGGCATACTACCAACGTCTTGTTAATCTCAGCAACAAAGCGCGTTTATAAAAAAATAAACTCCTAACCTATAAAGTCAATGACTAAAAATAAATAGAGTACGATGCAGCCTACCTAGGGTCAAGGTATCATGACGACCGCAGAATTTATTGTAAAGTTTTGGTCTCAAGGCTACGGCCCTAACATTAGTGGAAGTCGCATTTAAAAGTTGCTTTCTTTCATTTATTAATGTTGGTAAGATGACGAAGGCACAGCGGTGGAAAAAGAATGAGTAGACGCGAATTAGGCGGCCCGCTAGAGTGAATAAACCGATAAAAAACACTCAGTGCTGAATTAGGTAGTCACAAAAATGCGTTGGCGATTTGCATAAATCAGTCAGAGGCACAGCGACGCCATTTAGCTGACTGCGTCTCAGTTGGTGAGAGTTAATTAGGCTAAGACTTGAAAAAATCGCAAAAATTTCCTAAGAAGGAAACTAGACACTGTGCCGTAGACTGGTGAAGTTGATCGCGCCTTTGTGGAAATCACCCAGAACGGGTTAAACCAACTGTTCCACAGAAAATATGTTCGTGTTTAGCCATTGAATTATTGTTTTGGTACCATCAAACCAGAAAGGCAAAAAATAATTAGGAATTCATTAATGAACCTAACGGATTGAGATCACAGCACAATCCTAACTTTAGCAAGCGTTTGGAATGCATTTGTTGTAAAATACTCCAGAAAACTTATCAAATAACAATTAGTTTAAGCGAATGGCCCTTGAGATTAATCATATTTACTGCGACAGAAATTTCGAATGAATGAGTTACCAATTTTAATTCTAGAACTTGGCCGTTAAACAGTGGGAAATACAAGCAGTGCGGAACCTAACTTTGGGAGGATCTGAGTGAAACGTCCTTTTCACGTTCGCCAAGTCTGCCATGGACCAATGGCGACAGAGGCCAACTAGCACTTCTCCGGCGTTCAAGTGATTGCACGTTGCAAGTATGCAAATGGGAAGCCTTTCGAAAAGATTAAATACCTCCACGAGGGGCAAAGTTCACACTTAAAAGAGAAAAAAAGAAAGAAATGTCCTTTTGGTATTAACATACATGCTAGCAATGGGAGGTGGTTTGCACGCGTTTGTGTGCATAACCGAAGAAACCAGGCTTTGCTGGGGGGAAAATTGGTAGCCTCAAGGTGTACAGACACCATGAAATCCCATCACGGCGGCTCCGTCACTCCAGATTTCGTCAAACCACTGGAGAAAAGGGGCATAAAATCCAGGATGGTTGGAAGCGTGAGCTTAAGCAACTTGATATCATACATCGGGATCGCTTTTTACGTTAATCTCGAGAAGTTGTTTATCATAAAAACCAAAATCACTGCTATTCCTAAATGAAAAAAAATGAATTTGCCGGTACAATGTGTTAGCGAGGTTCACAAGGTGTCCTGAATCTGTCCATATTTTTCGTCGGATATTACATATGCTCCACCAGATCTATTTTAATCATTAACAATTTCGAATTATCGTTACCCCATTCAAAAATGAGCAACTCCTTGAACGTGTTGCAGGGCAAAACTTAACAAGCGTGAACACTTCGATTTTAACTTATCGATAAAATTATATGGAAGCCTCAGTAATGTGGATCGTATTTCCTCAGAAACATTTTTATATGTGGATGCCTTAATAGAAGGAATCGCCTTGAGGCAGATATGATGGCCTTCTAGAAAGGTCTAGAAATATGTATTGACCACTTAAGAGGAGGCAAATTTCGAAATTACAAAAGCTCAAAGTTCTTACCTACAATACCATGGACACCGTTGTTCGAACAATCCTCCACTTCAAATAGCATTTAAGGTCACACCGAGAACTTACTACCTCTAAAATATGTAACTATCTGTCAAAAGTGGGTGAGAATGGTACATCTAGTCCAATGAAGGTTTTGGCTGTTTTCCAATTATGATCTGAAAGAATCACATCCGACTGCAGCTGGACGTCTGCTTCGTACGCTAGGAGTTTGTCTTCCTAATACTGTCAAAAACGTGGTCGGTTAATTGGTGCAAACGCAGCATCTCGGAGTATTCTTGAACGGGGTAGCATGTAGGCGCTGTGACACAACAGTTGAAGTAAACTTCTCTGCAGATCGTCAAAGAGTTACACAAGCGGTAGAGTAAGGTATGAGTTAAATTAGGTAGCTATTGACACAGATAAATTTTACTAAAGGGGATTGGTCTTAATAGGTTGAAAGTGGATATGAAAAGGCTTCAAGACTGATGGTTTGTTTTACAAGCCTAAGCATGTTCAAAATTGATCCCCGAGAGAGAGACTGTCAACTGTGCAAACTGCATTTGTAAGTCTTATAACTAACATAGATTATGCAATCAAACAACTTGTGACTAAAATTTTATTCGCCTTGGATCCCCTTTTCATGATTTTATATTCATTTGCTTACTGGTCCACTCGCAAGAAAGATCGGCCAATCATTTGGTCATAATTGACTACTTTGGCCACCTGGCCAACAAATATCAATGGCGATACTAACCATAACTACCATTGACAGTTTATGGGAAATTCAAATCCACTCCCTTATTGTAATGTACTGATTTTTTAATAAAAGAATGTCCAACAAATTACCATGCCTTACTCTCACAATCATTTTTGTGATCAAATGGGCCTAATTGACGGCGCACTTGGCATCCAGGTATGAAATTATTGACTTTCCTTGAATCAGTGAAGGATATGTGCTGAGAAGACAGATAAGTTAATTCCAACTTCCAGTAACCGTATCCATAGCTTGGGGGGGGGGGTTAGGCAAACTTGGTTACTGCGTCCTGCAACGTCTACTTTAGTTTTATAAGTAAAATTTGTCTTTAACATAAATTTGTAGCAGCCATTTGTGTTAAAATATTAGTTTGTCTAAATCTTTTTGTGTTTGACCAATTTTTTAATCCTATGTGCTGTTGTCTTTCGACAAAATAAAGTATTTTCACCTTATTTTCCTAGTGCCGGTTCCTCCAAACATCGGGGTAAAATTTGTCGGAAATTGGAATTCAAGTAAATTTCCGTTGTAATGCTAAAATTTTTCAATAATCGTAAGTTGAATTAGAGGGGGTGTAGTTTTATCAAGTAAGAACTTCTAAAAATGGAAATAGTAATCGTGCTATGTTGAACTCTGCAACTAAGAGTGACTTTCCTTACGTTTGTTGAGAATTCGCTCGTAGGCCCCCTTTGCTTTGGTTAGCTGCTCAATTTCGTGTCTCATTAGATAGTTCATTTTGACTAGACTTTGAAGGCAGCTGTCATCCCTGTCATTACTAAAAGGTGATAAATGTAAAAGTATAGGTTTTAAAAATAATACATTAATCAATCGCAGAGATCCACCACCAAGGATAAAAACTGCGAAATGGCGCTTCCTCACCAAAACAGACTACTTTTCGGTATCAAGCGGATTTTGAATGGGGCTGAAAGTAGTCAAAAAATAGACTCGTTTTACTCCGGATGGATATTTTCAAACGGATTTCGGGCAGTGCTTCTTGGCAATATAAAAACAGACGCAAAAATTTCTGCATTTTTAATTAACACGTCTTATGTAAGAGGAAAAGTTACTTAGAAAGCTGATAATCGCCCTGAAGGAGGGAATTCCCACCGAGTTGTTCATCAACTCCTCTTACTGGGGCAACTGCGGTGCACATGGCGAATTTCTCATGACCAAGAGAATGATATTAACATCTTAGCCACACGGAGAGTAACGAGTGCTGCTGTGGGCAGGTATGAGGTGTGAGTTCACAATCAACACCAAAAACGAATGAGGACGGGTGTCTTGGGGATGTAGGGAAGAGGAAGGGTTCTCAACCCAGTTATGATACGCGTATGTATTGCGTAGTAACATTGCAATGGCACAGATGAGCAGAAAAAGTGTCGTGGCCACTATCGATAAGAATATTACGACATTTACAATGGGTCTCCGTTTTCTGAGTTTTAATAGGGGCTCAATTTAGATGAGAGGAAGTCGCAAAAATATAAGTATTTTAAATTAAAAGGTGCGATGAAAAATTAACTATATTAGTAGGTTATTCTGTTAGCAGTACATTATTTATTTAGGAACGTTCACCACAAAGTACTAAATCCCTCAATGCTATTTTCAAACCCAGATTGGAGTAACGGAAATACCATTAATGTAACCATCTTTAACAATTTGCAAATCCACATGAATCCACCAAGTTTTACTTGGCTCCTTTGCTATCTGCTTACTTAGCTCTATCAGCGTGAATACCGAATGTCTGCTAGAGTATGATGACATGCTTAGTGTTTCTCCTATTGACAGTGCGGAACTAACCAAACCTAATTAGGGACAAAGAAAGGTTTGGCCTCTGGTCCACGTTGCATCTGTTCACAGCAGTACCCTAGACAAAGTCAAATTACCTAATGAGTCGTTATCCTTTTCTTCAATAAAATTTTAAAATTCTCTTTTTTCTAGATTTTAGCATCTAGGTCAGTGTTTTAGTAACTTCAAGTTCCTACGAAATCTCGAATTAAAAATTGCTAATATGTCAACAGTCCTTGGACGTGTCATGCCACTAAATGCGTTTAATTTACAGCCTACCAGTGATGGAATAGCAGCTTTTTCTCATTAAGGCAATCGGCCAAGGCAAATTCGAATAATATTTGGGAGTTATATGGGTTATTCAAATTATACATTTAGTGGAATCACTTGTATTTTATCCATTTGGCTTGAAATGCTGAGTCGTAGCGCACCTCGCATTGAAGTCGAGTAAATGGGACTGAAGTGCATTAATAAAAAGGGGGAATGAGAAAGCTGAAACTCCTCAGCATTCAGAAGGGTATCTTACTCAGATGAAAGCGCAACGGTGGTCACTTTTGCTAATGGCCATTTCAGTCCAAAGCCACACAAAAAGGCGCCACCGAAAAGATCTTTTATTACTCTCGAGTGCTTAGCAAATGGTCAATGATGTGATCCTCAAAGTTGGTTTGAGTGAAGAACTTTTCAGCACAAAGAAAGCAGGCAAACAGGTCTTGGGATTGGTGTTTGTTTTTGCCCGAATAGAGGATGCTATCGATGCTGAACGACGGGGCTCTACTTGTATCGGCTGAAGTGGTATGGCAGACCTGGTAGGGTGCAGTGATGGTATCGATATTGGTGGTGGGCTGATATTGGAAGGTGCCTTTGGTCTTCTCGCTTCTCTCGCCGGTGTGAGCTAAGGAATTTAGCTTGCCGGGTAGGCCGAACTGTCTGTGGGGGTGTAGGGTATGCTGAATCCGCCTGGTCACACCAGATCTCGGCCTGTGCCATCGTTGATGACTTGCCAAGTTAGCTGAACAGCTGAATGCCTGAGGTTTCAATACATCAACAGATCACTGGCTCTTTGAGCGCAAATTTTGGTGCTCCTTGCAAAGAGCAAAGGCTAATTGGGTACTTTGTTGGTAAAATACCAACTGACAGTTATGTTTAATGAAAAGCACTTCGGGATCGTGGGAATCTCCCTGTCATTGTAGTGAAATATGATTGAGAACTGAAGGTTGTGGCTCACGGTGCTGCTGGTCGGGACCAGAGTAACACTCATCTACGGAAGTAGGAACTATATTTCTGATTCTTTAGTTCTGAAGGAAATGAATGCTTGCTAAATGTCGCAGTTAATAGAAAAACGTATCTACCCATAGTACGCTCACAGCATATTTGCTTCAAAAAGAAAGTTAATGCTAATATAACTCATTTTCTTAGGAAACAACTTAGAAAGAGCATCCAAGAATCAGCGTTGTAATTACACTGGTTTTCATCCACAAACTGCTGAAATTAATCACACTTATTTGCAGAATATTTCGCATCCATTCACCCTCTGACAGACAGCCTTAAGTATTTGGAGAATTGCCCGCAAAGAATTAGCCCTGACAAGTTAATTTTTCTTGATCTGACGCGGTGGCTTACTGGGTCGAAACATAAAGGCGACTTGTTTGTTTGACCGGAACACTGCAACATTTTAAAGAAATAAACTTGGGTGTAGTTAACGCGTCTGTAAACAAATCACTGTGAGAGTAATAGTAATTTTGAGGTCAAACAGTTGGTAGAGTTCCTACAGCAGAGTAAAACCCATATTATGTTTCTGTCACATTTGCTTAATTACTGCTTGCATACCGTATTAAGTATTTTAAAAGAAGCTGAAGAAATCTATAATTACTAGGCATGAGGAAGTTAAGTATATTAAAACTTTTGCATATTACACCCCACAGCGCTAGTTTTTCTCAATTCTCTTAATCTGATTTTGCTGTTAAAATGTACAAAATAGTCTTGACATAGTTGAGTGGGCGTTTTGATTAGTGTGCTCAAAAATTATGGCAGTCGGATAGGCATGAAACGGAAGTTGTCTCACTTTGTGGCAGTCCCGGCATTGGAAGGCCGTTCGGGTCATTTGAGGGCAGCTGTGCTGAGCCAAGTGGACAGGTGTCGGATAGACGGCCCCACACAGGCAACATTTAAATGCCCTCTTCCTAAGCCCTTCCGGAGTCGCCTTTGGGGGGAAACTGAGTTCATTTGGGGTGAGAGAAGGTGCATGGGGGTTGTGAAGGGGAAGACCAATAAAAGACTCTAAAAAATTGTAGAATTGTGCCATGTAGGCCTGCTGAGTGTTATGGGAATCCGATGTGGAGATGGTTTGGGAGAAGGACATATTACCTAAGCTATTTGCTATACTTGCTTGCCTAATTGGGGAATTCCTGCCTCGGCGCTCTCGGTTGCCTAGCCAATTGGAAAGCGGTGGTGGCGAGGTGTGCTATCTTTCTGATTGGTTTTGTTTAGGATGTGGACACGTGGAGCCACATGCCGATTGGTTGTTCGTCATCCAAACTACGGGGAGAACATTAGCCACTGTTAACCGAAACTTGTTGATGATGCAGCTCCTCATTTTTTCGAATACTTGTATTACAGTTAAAGAGTAATTTATCTAATCTGTTTTACAAAAAACCCTGCAATTTTTAATTGACATACGATAGGCCGACGAATTTAAGAAACCTGGAAATAGAAAGCAAAGAATTACTCACTTGGTAAGATTTAAGCGTACATATGAGACGCCAAAACATTATGAATTAATGAAATAACTGGGTGATACTGAGAAATTGCACTTTATATGCACTGGGTTATCATCAAAAACACTAGTGTTTTGAATGCCCTGGGAATTCGTTAGTGCTTTGAAAAGCTTTCAGAATTTTAACCTCAGATGTGTTGCTGACTTGATGTGCCACTCATTCCTACGAGACGAATGTCTCTGAATCTCACTTGGGCAACAACCGTAAAAGTATCAGCTTGTTCGAGGTAAGTGTTCAGTTGATCTTACTTGTTATTTAATAAATTTCGTGCAAGAAGCACATTACTCTGAAGCAATGGTATCATCACATAGGGTGAAAAGACCCAGAATGTCGTTTTGGTCATACTGCTGCAAGGTAGTGTGACCCGCCATAGTATAGACGTTTGCATGAAACTAAACTTATTAACAATATCATAAACCTCGCGGCTTGATTCGACAGAAAATTTGCATAAACGTAGGTTTCATCCTCGTTGGATTTTGTAGGTGAAGAACTGTTACGGGGCAATTTTTTAAGCACGTGTACTACTTCACAGATTTGTGTAATTTGTAGAACTTGGTTTTCTACAGAAGCGAATGTTGTAACACTCGGTCGTTGTTTATCACCGAAAAGTACACGAATGAACCAAGGTCCACAGTGAAGTACGCAATTATTCCAGCTTCAATTAATGCCTCGGACAGCATACGCTCACCTACCTGGCCATAAACTTAAGCATCCACATACCAGGTTGTGGTGTTAATTAACAGCTCACCATCAGTCGGGTTGAGGGAATTTCCCACGCTGCATGGCTCACCTTCCCATGGGTGTCATTCCGCTCAAGATGAAGACGACGGTAGTGGCGACTTTCAGGCGTGATTGTCAATATTCAAAACCACTTCCTTCTACTAGTAAATGCGTAGAATCGTTGTGTTTGCTCAAATTAAATTTTATGGTTGCAACGAGATATACTGAATTTATTCATTTTCATCACAGAGTGGGAATATTTATTCATTGAATGCCATGACGGACTTGAAAATGGCGCACTAACTGATCAAACATGCCTCTAGAAAAGGGGTGGAGGGAGGGGCGATACGTGGACCTCCGATTGCAATATTTGTCTACACGAAAAACAAATCGGATAAACTGAATGGGAAAAATAATTAATCTGTAAGAAATAGACAGGAAGAGAGGGAGAGTAGCACTTGGAATGGCTTTTGTTTTTCCTGACAGACGAATTCAACTAGCTAGACGGAAGTATGAATGAATAGTTTGATTCTCGCCTAATTGACGAGTTCAACTTCTTTCACTCGTAATTTATCAATGCTGATTAAGAGGAAAATATGAGAAAATGCCTATTTAAAATTTGAGAAAGGCCATTTTAGGAGAGACTTAAGCATAATTTCACTTCCTGATGTATTTCTTCAAAGGAAATGACTGTTTTTTGGTTGCAGTGGCTGTTTGAGCTAAATTTTCCCCTAGTCATCGCAGTATTTCAAGCCAATAAGTCAACTATTTATTGCTGCTATATTAACCATCACCAAAGGAGTCCAAGAAACAAAGATTGAATCTCGTTTATTAAGGAAAAGGAAAGTACGTCCCAGAGACTCTTAAGGTAATTTTCTGAGTAACAATTGAAACTGGCACTCCTTGAATTATGAATAGCCAACTTTGAGGCAAGCTTGAAGAGCGCCAGTTTCTTCACCTTCAAATACACAGTTAATTGAGATGCCAATGGGTATTTTGTCATAAACTAGACATACGGCTCCAAGTTTTTCAACTAGGTAATTTCTGCTTCTACATCAGCCCGATAAAGCGTTTATATTACTATTCTCATTTATTGAAAGCAAAAAAAATTAAATAGACCTAAAGCGTTTTCAGCGTTACTACCTCGATTTACGGGAGCAGGCATCACAATTATAGGCTCATTGACATTTCGACAATGTTGGTCGGGTCTAAAAGCTAATTGAAGAAAGTCAAAAGAAGTCCAATTATTAATTGATGAGAAGGTTGCACAATTTTAGCATCAGGAAGTTGCCTTAACCATCAGTTTAGATCATAGGACTACCACTCCGTTCGCAGTCAGGAAGAAGAAAGAAGTGGTATCACGAATGGGTGAGAATTTCTGGATAAGGAGAAAGTAACAATGCAAAATGGTGGTGCATTTGTGTTTGTTTGGCGTTCAAATTATGGTGGGTCGATTTTCCACACTGCGCCCTTGGCCCGGACGACTACTACGACGTCTTCGCTGGCCCTCGTCGGCACCACTACCGCTATTAGCACTGGCACTACCGATGCTCCGGGGAGCGTAGTGGCCCACTCTGCCGACGGGGGAGGTCGTGGAGAAGTCTGAGAGCTCGATCACCTCCGCTGCTCGATCTGTACAACACGTAACAAGCAGTTCCACATCACACCGCTTTTCGGAATGCTCCTAAATGATCTAGGCTTCCCTTCACAGAAGGTTACTTCGATATGTATAGTAGCTACTTGGAGAACTATGCTAAAGTAAGCACAGAGTACTCTGAATTGCACCAATCACGAGTTAGGAAATGCGGACCTTCATTTGGACTCCAGCTCATCTCGCTGTCGCTGATTGGTTGATTTGGATAGTAGGGCCTCTCGAAGTGGTCCTGGTGACTGCCCTCAGAGCGTGGAGGAGCGAATTCACCTAGTGGTTGGGGCAGTCCCATCGATCCATAGGGTATTGTGGGGTTCAAAGGCTCCTGCTCTACGCTCAGCAGAGATTGGGGCTCTGGGAACCTTGAAAGTGAAGAGGTTGAAGTGACTGAGCAGTGTAGCACAGTGATGTTGGCCACGACTCATGATTATACAGGGTTCTTGGATTGAGAGTTGGCCGAAAGCTTTCGTGGTCAATGTGTGGGGAGGTTAGATAAAATATTTACTTTATAGCATCGGTTGTTCGAACATAATTCTGCATTTTAGTAACGCGAGTTTCATGAAATAGGCAAATTCTTCAGCCTCAATGGTAAGCAGTCACCGCAATTTCTACCTACTTTAGCAAGTATCTGCGTTTTAAAGTTCAGATTTTTGATTTCACACATTCAACTCTTATTTATATGAAATTCGGTAAACATCTTTACTACTTTTGACCCTGCAGTTCAACTGAATACTCCAAAGAGTGCGAAGTTACCTGCCTCTCAAGCTTATTCAGATCATCTTCAGAGTTTTAGACATCCAGTTGACTTTTTATAAAAACTAATCAAATTTACCCACAAATTTGTAAATAGATAATTTACAAGAGTTTAAGGAGACTAAGCGCGCAGTTTATGAGCAAAAAAAAACAGCAAAAACTTACATTGTTGGAGGTTCGAACAAGGGTTCTGTTGGCGCTGCCTTCTCTTGAACTGAAATGGAAGGAGACGCATTAAGTACTGGTAGTCTAGGCAGAAAAATGTAGAAATTCATTCGCAAGTTGTGAGAAGTTTCAATATCATAATCAGCAGCACACCGATCTATTTCATTACCTTCCTTGAAGCGCTGCACTCGTATGCAAATGAGAAGGACAAAGACGAAAATGATGATAATGAGGAGGATGATAACGATGGCAAACCAGGTGGCGCTGGCCCCCTCTAAACCCCCTGGTGGTGCGGGACCCGAGGTCGTAATGATCTTGGGAGGCGACGGGGTAGAAATAAAGGCTCCATTAGTAGCCACCATTCTCACCTCGTACGTTGTCGCTGAGACCCACAAATAAGTGGAACTTTATTACTATTTATTTAACAAAAGTAGCAAAAAACAATATACTTATCGAAATCCTCACATGGCAGCAAACCAGCGACGTGGATAGTACGTGAAAGGAACACTCGGAGCGATTCCTGCCATAAAATGATGCCAGGTATTCGGTACTGGGCAAAGAATACCGACCCCGGTTCTCCCCTGTGACTAGGCTCGTAGGTTATGTTAAAGCTCGTCTCAGTGATATCAGCAATGAAAAATGTTGGAGCTGTAGGTGCTAAAGCCAAGAAATAAAGGATTGATAAAATTGAACACGCTTTCGCAGAAATTGGAGGAGATTCGCTTACTGGAAGTTACATCTAGGGTCGTAATGTCAATAAACGAGTCAATTCCCAGTCCGGCCGATGTTCGTGGCAGTACAACTAACCGATAAGAAGTGTTCGCCCGTAGTGCTGTCATTTCGTAACCGGTCAGAGAACCATCATGTACAGTGGGATATCGCGAGGACAAAGCAATATCCAGACCCTTAACTGGTAGAGAAATGAGTGATTAGAAAAGTGCTTATAATGAACAACTACGTACTTTCATGAGCCTCGAAATCGTAGCCTGTAATCACACCATTGGGCTCCGTAGGTGGATTCCACGAAATGTTAACTCGGTTTATCCCAACTACCACAGCTCGCAGCTCTGAAACCGGACCAGGTGTACCCTCCAGAGTCTTTAGTTTTACAGTGGGACTGAAATGGGAACACCGAGCTTTGGTACTTCCCAGCCGCCAGCGAGGTTACGAGGGGAAGAAGACAACTCACCCCATGGGGCTGGCGTGAAGACTGTTGAGTATTCGCAGCCACACTTTGATCTCCGTTGCGCCTGGCACACCAGTCAGCGTGTGGTTAATGGTTTCACCCCAGGAAAAGTTCCGTAAACTAATGGATCCGGGCGCGTCTGCTACCGTTGACAGAGTGATGAGTTGACGTTTGGAGCGCGAGAGTACGTGTTGGAAGGCCTCGCCTAGACACGAGGGCGACTGGTAGGCGCGAAAGCGGCAAAAGCTCTCGTCGACGTCAGAGAGACGTTCGGTGATCGAAAGCGTTGGACTCAACTCGGATGGAGGGGAGTAGAAGAAATGTACAAGACTTGAAATCTCACTTTCCTCCTGCCCTTCTTCGTGGTTCTCACTCACTGAGCGAGGTCGCCGCATATAGGAGGTCGGAGTAAGCAGACGTTGGAACAGGACGTCCTATTGAACAAAGTCAAAAATAACTATTACCGAATGATATAGGTCGCAGATGTGCCTTTGTACTGCAGCTTTATTTTACTTTCAATAATAATTTGATCTCCAAAAACTAGAATCTCTCTAGTGCGTATTCACACCAACTATTTTATTCTAATCGGGCTTTCGACGGTCTAAGTGTTGACTTCATCCACATGATCACAATAAAGACATTATTATGTCCTCGCATCATACGTCTTAAGAAACAACACTAGGGATATTTAAAATTCAATCAGCACGGTTTCTCAAAATTTCAAAATAGAGAATAGACGACTCTCTCACAAAGGAGATTATTAACATCATCAGACTTTTATAATTAGTGATATTCATGCACTTTATTAATAAAGAATTAGCCAGAGTTGATCTCCGTCAGTATATACTTACTTTTAACTTTAGCTAAATGGGAATTTTTATGCAATCGTCGATAAAATTTCGTGTGTTGGCCACAGACGGCTTAGGGATAAATAGTGTCACAAAATCTATTGGTCAGCCCAGATTTATTCAAGTATAAGTGAAGAGCAATAGTCTACCTGGAATCTCTTCTGTCTTTCGCACTCAACCTGATTAAGAGTAGCATTGCACCACTCGATTCGATATCCACGGAAGAATCCATTGACTAGAGGTTCCTGGTTTTGGAAAATGATAGTCCACTGCAGAACGGCTCCGTCTGAGGTGGGCTGAACCACGGTTAACGCAGAGGCCGCAATGCTGGGCATGTTCTCGCCCGAGTAGCCCCTAGCAACAGTTGGCGCCTTCGTACTCGTGCCTTTGTCGTTTCGACTCTGTATTGTCACCTGCAGGGAAGCAGATACGAGCCACCTGAGACACAACTAAAGCAATACACGAAACTAATAAAACACTCGTGGTCTACCTCGAACAGCTTATAGGATTCGATGGGCTGCATGATCCTACTGGATGGGTCTCCGCTCTGGAACATGGTGTACGTGATTCGATCTGTCCTCCAGTCACTAATTATCGTCGTGTTGATATCTCCTGGTCGTATATTGTTACAGTTGAGGCAGCGGACGGTGAGCAGATAGACGAGGTTGTTTGCATAGTGTTCAATGTATGGCATAGTCTAGTCAGTATAAAATCATAACAAACTTTATTTTATTCCCGTAAATACAAAGCATTTTTTTAACAAAACGATTCTATCTCCACGCTGGAAGAGGATCTAAAATAGCTATTTCAACCGTTAGATCACTGCACATCAATAGGTCGACTCACAGACCACTGAATAACTAGGTTATTCGATGCGGTTCCGTAGACATAAAGCTCCTTTGGATTGCTGTCAGGTGCTGTAGCTGCAATCGAGCAGGTTCCCGTGGTGGCGACACTGGGTTCAGAGAGCCCTACTCGATTTCGGGTGCGAACACGAAACTGATAGTCAATATTTGGACGAAGAACAATCTAAGAGAAGAAAAAAGGGATAAGAAATAATGGATCCCTAAATTACCTAGTAATTATGAAGCGAACTGCACGGCAGACCTTAGCGTCAGTAGCCTGTAATAGGCCAGTCAGGTTGTAAATCTCGGCTCGATACCAAGTCTTGCGTTCGAATTGCGTGGAGAACTCAACGATGTACTCAATGATTGGGGCGTAGTTATCGGAGCCGGGCGCCCATTTCAACATAGCTCGGCGAGACGGGGCAAAAGTGATGCAGTCCTCCACCAGATTGCGCGGCTGATTCGGTCTGCCTAGAACGGGAACAAGAAGAGTTTACCATTTCATGAACGCACACACTGATTAATTGACTCAAGATTATTGCATAGCTCCTTGTAAAGCTACTAATCTTATCCAAAACAGGGTACGAGATTAAAGAATGAAGCATAAATATTTTAAATACAAAGGGATTAAATTTCATGGTAATTATTCATTACGGTCTAATGGACTCTTTCGTCAGTGAACTTGTGCAAGAAAGGGATTTATATTAGTAAATTTTGAGTTCAAACTTGAATCTTTATCTAAGAATACTACCCGTATCAATACTTTTGCTTAAAAATTACAGCCATATCAAGTCCCAATACTTTAAAATGGGTTAGTCTACATAAAGGCTGACAAAAAAGCGATCAGAATGAGAAATCAGAAAATAGTTCACCAAGCAATTTTCAGAATTTATTTATGACTCTTGCTACTAGGTTAATGTAAACATGCTTCGCAAGATAAAAGAGGTGGTAAATACCTTGAACAAGAAGAGAAGCGGTGGCGGTGGCAAAGTCGAGTCCATTGGAGGCGTTGCAGCGGTACTGTCCTGTGTCAAGGGTCTGCGCACCACCAATGACGAGGGAATAGTCGAAGCCAATCTGTTCTATTCTCGGCGTGAGCCTGGGATCAATGACATTGTTGTCTTTATACCATGTTACCCCCATGTTTGCCACCTCCTCCGGGTCGGTATCCGCGGTGCAGACGAACTTCACCAATTGGCCCTCGTACACCCACGTCTCGATGGGCGCCAGAGTGACGCGTGTACGCCGACGCACTGCTAGTGAGCCCGCAGCCTTGGTCACACCGAATGGGTTCGTCGCTGTACACTCATACATCCCCGTGTCTGTCACCGCACCTGACTGCAAGGCAGACAACAATTTTTCACCTTAGTTCACAAAAAGTTTGCTGATAATATTCGCTGATCCCACACAGGCGCTTTTAAGATCAGCTTATTTTATTCCTTTGGCATGAACTTTTACTGTCACAAGAAATCGTGCTTGAATGCGCGGTCTGAATTGAAATTCTTCCTTCTAATGAAGTCAGTTACTGTTATTAAAAGTTCAATAGCATTTATCGAAACCGAAGCTAAGTTCTTTTTTACCATCAATTGACATTTTCAGAAGTCGGCGGTCCATCATTCTCTATACATAACGGAAATCCGCGTTCCCGATGATTGTATGACTAAATTAGAGGATGTGCCGAGTGCAATACGGAATTTATGCAGACATTTCTGTTGATAAATCGGTTAAAATGACTTAGATCATGGACGGTTTCGTTTTGCGTCTGCAGGCTTAACTTTCCTGCCTTTTTCTTCAATACAGTTTGTAAATATTGTCGAAATTCCGCATAAAAATGGGGTAGAGGTCATTTACTAAAGATATTTCTGCCTAAAATTACTTCTAAAAGGGTGATAAAAGAGGTATTGTCTAAATGAGCCATAGAACCGACAACTGTTGCTCTCAGCGTCATGTATTCGCAGCGTACAGTAACTTTGCCGTTCCAAAAACTTAGACGCTTGACATTAACAGTCAAAGTTAAACACTAAGTCGATCCCTTTTTTCGGATCCATGAATATTACTGCAAAGTAGGATAACAGTCGCTAAGGCGAGAACCGATTTCCTATTAATATTTTCAACATTAAACATCTATTGCTTCGAATTTGTGCCATTATAACCTGTGAATCTGTTGTGGCCATATTTATACCAGAGCACTTGTAGATGCGTTCTTGATAATAAAGCAAGAAAATATCCCGATATCCTTATCCTAATGCAACCCGCAAACTTCACTGAAAATCTTGCATAAATATGAATACTTGAAACAAGTTACACAGATCAATGTGACGCTAGCTAGAGTCCTTTCCAGATTAGTGCAAAAAGCTCTTGTGAAATGGTAATGTGCTATCTAGAATAGAACCCCTTCGACAGGTGGTGGATGGGCTTACCTCGATGATGAGATCACCATTCTCCATCACCTGATAACGACCACCATTGATAGGACGACCATCCTTGCGCCAGGCCACGAGGGCCCTCGGCGCAGAGTAGGAGCGGCAGGGCAGCAGGACCATTGCACCCTCCGTCTGTCGAAGGTTTTTTGGCGGTGCCTTATATATGTACGGCGGCTCGCGAAGCACATTAATGAAAGCGTTGACGAAATCATAGCCGAAGGAGTTGGACGCGTTGCATTGGATCACTGCGTTGTCGTCAACCGTCAAGTTGTTAAGAATCATTGTCTAAGACAGATGGACTAGGCATTTATTTTCCGATTCTATTATAACATTTGTGAGTGGATTGTCTTTAAAAAGCAAAATTAAACTTACATTTCCACTAATAAGCTTCCTTACTCCATCAAGGTAAAATGAGGGATCAAGTCCGTTGACAGTCCACCGAACCTTTGGTCTGGGATCTGCCTCGGCCTCACAAGTGAACACCACGCTTCCATTCTCAGGTACCATCGTATCAACGGGAAAAATAGTAAATTTAGGAGCAGCTACAAATGTGAAAGATATGGCCAGTAGTTTACAACTCAAAATGAAAATGCATAATGTGTTTCAAAACATACACTTCACTCTCACTTCGTACTCATAGTTCATTGAAGTCATAGTTGCTTCATTAACTCCCTGGCATCGGTACTGCCCTGCAGTGGCGTTCGTCACAGGATTTATCTCCAAAGTTGTCCCCATGTTGACTATATTTGTGTTGGGGGACTGGAAAGAAGTATATGGTTCGTAAGGACTAAAAATCTACCAGGGTCGCATCTTTGCCATCCTTATACCAACGATAACTGGGCAGAGGATAACCACCCAAAATACACTGTAGACGGAGAGTTTCATTAACAACGGCGAGAGACGTATAAGGCGTTTGGTACAAAAATGTGATTGGCTGATTTATCTACAATGGAAAACACAAAGGATAGATGTCAATGCATTTTATAAAGTTATGTCCTGAATATCATATGTACCTCTGGATATCTTGCCGTAATCTTGTATCCTGGACCAGTTGTTTGTTCACGAATTATCTCATTATTTGCGACACATTGGAAAGTGACTCCGTCGTCTGTGGAGAGAATCGCTGCGATATGAAGAGTGCCTAAAGTGGGCGAATAACACATCAAAAACACTTACCATCTACATCGATTGCTAGTCGACTAGTTTCTTTAATATAGTCCAGCTGAGCATCCTTCGATGTTTGCCAAGTAACAACTGGAGGTGGATAACCTAGAGGCACCTGACATGGCAGAGATACGGATTCCCCTATTCTCTTTTGAATAGTTGTGATTTTCGGACTAACAAATTGTCCCATCTCTATATAATATTGGCCTGTTTTTATCAATTACCTGCTCTTTTCACATTAATCACATTCGATACAGCGACACCATACTTATTTTCAGCAAAGCATTGGTACAATCCATCATCATCAGTTCCTGGTTTGGCTAGAACAATGGTGCCTTCTCCTGGATATTTCGTATATCGACCAATATTGCCGGCCCAATTAAAGTCCTGACCATTTTTTGTCCAATAATACCTATAAAGTAGCAACCCAGCATGAGCCCTTACCTTGGAGTTGGCCAGGCATTAACTTTGCAAGGCAATACTATAGCTTCTCCAGGTATGAAAACGGCCTGCTTATTAGGCATCTTCGTAAATGAAGGTGGTAGAGACACTAAACAATATATGACAGTAAGAATCCCTACATGCGCCAACATGCAGTGTACAAATACAAAACAGGACTATAATGCACAAAGTTAGGCCCATTTAACCCATTAATACTAGGTAATTTGTCAAATAACTCAGATAACCCAGCCTCAACACAGCGGTATTTACTCCCCTAAGGCCGTTTGGTCAATTAAAACAACCTCCTACGGAAACTCATATACTTTTAAGACGCAAACTACACAGTGAAATGAAGTTTTTGCTTGTACAACAGTAGCTTTTGAAGCCGGATCACTAGCATTTAATAATTTTACTTGGTTTGTGTAATGTTCCAACACCTGAAGTGCAATAGAAGTTTGGTATTTTGTCCCCTAATTTTTCATTAAAAACAGCTTCAAATAATAACGCCTTGTGACATCAATTACAGTTGGTGCAGTACACCGAAAATGCATTTAAACTAGTCAACTGTCTGCATCGCCTCATTTCCGCATGGTCTAATATGATGAATCTGGAAGGAAAAAGTTTCGGTGACTTCATCCTCTGTTTGACTGTTCATTGTAATGCAATGGTCGTAATTTTACTCACTGACATGGCCCTTCCAACAATACCGCTGTGGTGGTCTATTAACAAATGTGGCATAAACGGGACACCGCAGCACTAAGATGGCGAACGAAATAGTGGAAGTTAATGATTGCTACAAGAATCTTAGTTGAAATCCTCATTTGACCCAACAAGTGAATGGAATAAGCACTATATTAAGTCTGAATTTGATCGGAATAAAAAAGGAACATTTTTTCAGTAGGACATTACCCTGCTTTGCTTATGCTACTGCTCTTCTGGAAAACCTTAGCTGTTGCCGTCAAGTTAACTTATCACCCTGACTTGAACTTGCAGAGCCCCTCACAAACTTGTCAAAGAGCTAGAAGAAACTCTACGGCCTACCGCGGCATGTTGAAAGTTGTGGGGCGTTGAATGAATTTGCGGTTCTAGCCAAACGCTATGATATGAATACGCTGTCTATACACTGTCTACATTCTAACTAAATACTTTTGGATAACCACTTTAATGCACCCGAATATGTTAATTTGTTTGCACTAATGCGAGAACGGTCAAACATTTACAATTTAATGTCTTCTGTCTTATCCCAATCAGAACTTTGAGTGGTCAGCTATAGATTTTGCACATGATATATGAAAAATCGGCTTAGTGCTTATATCCACCTATGATCTAGAGAGGCTGGAAATACCAAGTGACTACCTCACAGCAGGATTGATTTCTAAGTGTGGTAAAAACGCCTCAGGCACGAGTCTACCATGGTTGACTCTGTAAGTGCGATAAATGTCAAAATTTGCATTTGGGTTCTTTGTGTACCCTTTAATGCTTAGTTATTTATCGTGACTAGGTGCTGAATGAATACTCACACTCGTCAAAACGTTGTTTGCATATTAAAAATAAAATCTAGGAGAAAACAACCAATTCCTAAGTTTGACACTGTAGCGCCCTGTGACTATCCTGAAGACAAAAGAAGACTTAGTACTTGGAGAGAATATGTATATTTGACATGCAGTAGGGCTTGAGGCTACTGAGATGCCCCAAGGACCAGCCCACCTGGCAAAGGTACAATGATGGATAGCCAGAGTGACCCCTTTAACAAAACCAGGAGTTAAACAAACAACCAAGGTATTACAAGACATCACAGTGAATAATTTGTGAATGCTTCAACATTTTGAGTATATTTAAAGACGAAAGTGTATACGGACATCACAAAATAAACGACAAACTTAACAAGGGGCAGTAGCATTACGATTTTTAAATGCTTAGACGCTATTAATTAAATGATAGCGAACCAAGTTTTCTAGTCCTCAGAAATCCACATTTTCTTGCAATGAATCTAAAATACTGAGTAACCAACTTTGGTACTTAAGGGAAGCCTGGCAGTACAAACATTCGTCTGAAAATTTCACTGCTGACCATTTATTTGGCACTGATTATCAAACTTGCACCTTAACATTTAAAATCCACCCCACTAAATTTTTTCTTGCTGGCCAGCATACTGTCAAGTTGAGTCCTTATAAATTTAAGCTAGGGAGGTTTTTTAGGTGGCAAGATTTTTAATATTCCTAAGACCAACTCTTGCTGCAAGAGTCTGCGAACATCTAGTGCTGTTCATGGTAAAAATGGAGGTTTGATGGTTCTATGTGGCTTCGTGAAGCGACGTGGATAAATATGTGAATTTCCAAAACCTCGGATATTGAAACGATTTTAAAATATTGGAGGGGGAAGCGCTAAATTATTGGCTATTTTTCTGGTTTCACATTGATTAAAATTAATCTTGCCAAAAAAATTTGTTTTGGCATTTAAAAGAATTTAACTGCGGCAAATAGCACGTTAGTGAAATTGTATCCATCAACTTACCCAAATTTTCAGCAGTCTGCAGTGAGCTCAGTCGTCTACTGATACTTCTCAACTAGTTTTCTTTGGGACACAAATGCCAACGCAGGTTGTGCATACCAAAGCCAGTAACTTTGTAAAACGGGTCAATTATTTCTTTTCTATTTGGAGTTAAAAGGCCTGAATAATTTCATATTCATTGTTTTATTTACTCGCCAAATAGCAATTAAGGAATACAATGGCGCATACCGTTCATTTCAGGTAACTAAATACTTTGCGATGATGGGGCAATAACTTAGTGGTTGTTGCGTTCTTCAGGGTGGTCGGAACAACATTACGCGCCACCGATGAAAAGATGGGCAAATATGGAACTCAACGCTCAAACATGATCCCTATTTCCGTTTACATGGAGCGTCAAATTTTTTGGTTGTATACAAACCATCATATTGTGAGTGAGGCAACCCATAGAACCATTTTTGAGAGATCATTAGTCTACATTACATTTGAAAATACATAAAAAATCTATACAAATTTTGAGACACTTTGCTTACTCTCTAGTGTGGTTTAATGATTATGTAAATAATGTGCTCTAAATGACTCCTTGCCTTTTAATAGGCAAGAGGTAGAATGCGCCTGATTAATTGCCTGCTATGGGTCGGGTCGGTAAGGCAACAATTACACAAATTTTGGACCCACCGCGCAAAAGCATCCTCATACCTGCTCCACCTCCCAACGCGGTAGTTGTACCTTGTAGTGTTTAAATTGGCACCATCTACAACCGTTGACGGAATGTGTATGGAATGTGTCACCCATAGTGAGTTCTAGTCCTTTTCACTAGAGCCTATTAATCACATCCCCACCACTGTTGCGGTGCATAAGATTCACTACATATACACCGGTTAAGCCGGTTATTTGAGTGCCATATCCGAGGGGAAGTCAGTGCAAAACACTGTTCCCTTGTGCCAAGTTCCCCAGCATTCGGTGCACCTCAAATTACTACAAAGAAGGTCTGTCCAAATCATTATTTTTCTTAATATTCCTGAAGACTACCAGTATTTGTAGAAACACAAAGACGTCACCACGTGCAAGTGAAAATTATTCAAATAAACTCCACTTTATTTTAATGCAGAATCAATTCCTATAAGTATATTCACATCCAAAAACGAGTAAATATTTAGTGTGCTTTTCATTTGTTGTAGTTTCAAATAAATGAAGTGCAAAACTTCTTTAAAAGTTTATAAAGATCTCAAGCTCATAAGCCCTTTTACATACTACCTGTATGCGAACATTATTCTTTACTTTATAATTTATTTTATCCAGTAAAGTAAAGGGAATCAAATGGCTAAAAGAAATTAAAAATTGCTTTTTTGCAGAAAGGCTTTTTAACTGAATGTAGACCTCTTGCATTATTTTTGTAGTGATACAGGCAAATTACTTAAATCTCCCCCAATTTATTTTTTTCTAAACTGATTTGAATGCAACAAAGAGGAAACATCGCGCTTTTCTACGAAGAATCTCACAACTGAAGCATTTGCTAGAATGAAAATCGCTGAAGCTTGCATGCACCTCTACGTAGAGTGCGTAATTTGTATTAGATTTTCCTCAACGTATGCCTGTTTCGCGGGGGATTGGAGAAAGCAGGTGAAAAGTAATTTGATAAGCCATCGTGGCATTTTATTTTGCCATGTGCATTTAAGTTTGTGATGGTAAAAATAAGATGGACTAAATATGGAGGTGTTGCGGTGTAACAAACATAGAAGGTTACATTTTATAGACGTGCACAATTCGCTCCTCAATGGATACAATATTAATGCTCCGATAGCTGCTCGATAATGACTGACTAATGACCATAAAATCTTCACGAAATGTACACTAACATTTCCAAACCACGGATTCAACAAACTTATGTTAGCGCCTGCAGAATGTATCAAATATTCCAGAAACGAATCGCGCCGGGAAAGTGCAGAAGCAAGCGATCATGCTCCCGTGGAGGCGATATAAGGCTCCTGTTCCAGCGGCTGTTGAAGCTGTCCCTTCACACTCCCACCTCTTCAACCCTGCAAACCTGCTTCTTCACAAACCCCATGATCATCAAAAAAACCAATGGAGTGCCACATAAAACACCACAATGCATGAATGGTGCAGTACGATTCTAATTAAAAGCACTTTTTTGCGAAAGTTATTGGAGGGGAATGAAACTTTAGCATTTGAAATTCACTATAAAAAATGAAAATGAAGAAAGTGCTGTAAAGTTAGGTA